TCATGTAGAACTCATACTCCTTCCCTCTTAAGGTTAACTTTTTCAGAAGATTTTTCCCCATATTCGTCGCTATTCTCATTGCTTTCATTGGAAACGTCCAAAGAGTCAACAAGAGACTTCTCCTTGCTACGTTTTCCTGTACCATAATCAGCTCCGTAACGTTTCATGGCTTGAAGAATACTCTTATGTCGTTTTCCAGCAAGGTGCTTATTCCTTATATAGAAACCCAATCATGACTCGCAAGAAAAAATAAGATATTCCTACCAATTTCTTTTTCCCGAGATGATAATACCACAAACTTCACATCGTAGTGTTATGTTGGCATCTTCACTACTCTCAAACTCTCCATAATCCTAAATTAGAAAAATAGCAGTGCGCCCATTTTGTTCAGGGAAATCAGACCTGTGCAACTCACCTCTTCTTTGAAGTCTCGGCCACTCATCCATTCGTCAACTATCCCCAGACCCGCAGTTATAAATCTGTTTCTATCGGAAGTGTCCAGTCTCTTTAAAGATGGCACCTGAAGAACATTTTTCAAAGGTGTCATCTGAAGGATATCTTTACTGCAGTACTGGCTGTCGAGATATTGGTGATATTGTTTGCAACCGTCAGATGTCTTAACGCAAGCTGCATGGAATACCTACATTCTAATATATAATGACTGCGCAGTGTATAGTGAGATCCAAAAATCTAGCCACCTCTCTTCCCTTTCTCCCGCTTCAACTTTCATCCGTTATTTGATATACTGCAATCAACAAAGTCGTTTACAATGTACTCCCTCTTCATTTCAGTGGCGTATTGGGATCAACTTACCGGCAAGCGAATCCTGCACCAGTTGATTCCAACTGGCTACGTGAACAAAACTAAAGTAAGACGTCGCTAAATCATTTTTGACAGCTAAGATAGGCGGCTATTGAGTGCATGATTACGGTGAGAGCAATGCCAACCCTAACCGTTCCAAGAAATAACGACAGTTAAGACACAGACACAGATCTAACTAAGATACATGGTTGAATCCGGACATTTCCGGCATGTACTGCTGCTTGGCTAGACCCTGCATGAAAGAGGTAGGCAATTTATCTCAAAATTATAAGGCAACGTTGTCTCGTTATTACTTCGCGTCTTTCGATATTTGCATTGACGTTGATCGGACTCTTGGAATTCTCATCGTTGACTATCTCAAGAACCCGAAAAAAAGGTAGCCGTCCTATGTAGGTTCTGAGGTAAGGAGAGCATGCAGTTTTTGGAAAATTGTACCATAATACGAAGCGCTAATCGGCTAGTGTAAAGATTGATAGTGATTATCATATACTTCGAACAAGCTATCTAAAAAAGTGAAATCAATGACAAATGTGTGAAGAACATATGTACATTTCGAGCTACTTGTCTTCGAAAAAATCGCGAGTTCACCCAATTGCGTTGCCTCCGAGCGTATTGTCGAGTGTGGAGTTTGACATCATCGCACCTTAAGCAAAATTTCTCAATGTTCACAGTGCCAACACAAAAAAACATCAAAACAGTATGTTCAGTTTTCAAGAAACTTCTATCGGCACTTTATCGAGCCCTTCAAATACTGAAAATTGATCAGATTGATAGAATTGATAGATTGAAAAGCAGCAGATCGAGAAACTAACCCCTTCTCGAATAAACGTTGCCCCTCGATAGACAATCGCTGTTCTGCAGAAAGTCTCAGATATGGGATAAACTCTTTCAACCCAATGCACTGCAAAACACCAAAATGTTCCCTATTGCTCAGTTTCTCGCCGTTCTGCAACGATGACATTCAACGGTAAACATAGTTCCGATTGCACCTTTACCTTAGAGTAATATTCCTCCAATTCCTTTCTTAGCCCCTCTCTTTTCATCTTCTCCACCCGCAAGTCCAGTCGCGCAGCGAGCACTTCTTTTGAAGCATCAAGCGAGATTACCTGGAACACCGTGGCATTTGACTTGTTAATCAGAACGGGAAGTTTATTGAGCTTCTGCACACCAAAGATTCGGGAAACCGCAGATGTCCTCCTATATCTCGGAAGCCATTGGACTCTTTCTGCGCTTTCAGGAAATCACTTTTTTTCTTGCCTAAACTATAGATTACATAAGCTACAACGCGGAAACAAGTTTACAAGATATTAAAAATGATAAAGTTACAAAAAGCATATCATAACACATGAAAATAAAAGATTGAAATTGATTAAGCTTCAAACAGAGCAATATTTAAACAATACAATACACCACCAGTCAGCCGATAAACCTCAATGGCGCGCAAAACTCGTGTTCGATTGTTTGGGTGCACCAACCGAGCTGACTCTGGATCAATCTGTAAGCATATGATTGTTGAGCTAGTGATTCTGAACGAATCATCGACACCTGTTTAAGTCGTTGGTGGAGTTCGGCATTGGACAAGTTTTGCAAGTCTTCCTCTTCACCATTATCTATAACTGGGCCTAAAAACTAAAACAAATGAGGAAGACTAGCTGGATGGTGGAAAGCAGTGGGTACCTGGAGTCTCAATGATGTTCTCTTCAAATAACAAACTTTCAACGTAGTATGCGGTTCCACCAACAACAATCGGTAAATGTCCACGTTGTCGAATTTCCTTAGAAAAAGGAGGGTATGGGAAGTGGGAGTTTCGTAGAATCCAAGTTTCTCGCATTATTCACAAAAAAATTTTAATAAGACTCTATGGAACAGATTGTTTAATAAAGTGATTGACTCCAAAGCGAGAAAATATTAGGACTGCCTATAGTTTAGGCATGAACATTCGCGGCCAATTCAGTTCTTGCAAAGGATTCCATACTATTGCATGTGTCTTATTACTTGTGACTAGCCACAACGTTTAAAAACGCATTAGAGGAATTCTACTTTCCGCCTTTTGGTAGCGCTCTTGGTCTAAGCAGGGTAAGACTCTTTCCTTATTAGGAAAAAGAAACGAGCGAAAGCATGTGGAAGTGCAACGTGAGAGTATTTTTCGACATTTGTCGCCTTTTGCTTCCAATTCACAGTTATTGGACCCTGCAATCATTGCATATCAGGCCTCGGCACGAGGTCTCCGATAGGATCTTACGAGAACGAATCCCCGCTTGAAAGTCCATGAAATCACGAAGCCCCCTTTGTAACCTGTACAGACACGTGTAATCAGGACAAGCATTGCAGTGCGGTATATTTGGAGCGCGTTTTCT